GCTAGGACAACACACTGTCGTTTCAGGTGTGGCTCCGATGTGACAGTAAGAGCTGGGTCCACAAGTGCTCGGGCCAGCAGCGGAACACATCGTCGGAGGAAGAGGAATTGGTTGATTGCAGGGGTTTACAAAAACTGAAAAATTGTATATATAATGGACTTGTAATTGGAAAATTGAAAAGACCCCGAAAGGAAGTTGAAAGTAGACGAAACGTAGTCTATAGTTAAGGAAGGGACAGTTCATAGCTAGAAGTGTTTGCAAGAAGACCTAAGGAGATGTCCTTTGTCTGATGTTAGTTTGATGCTTTGAAAATAAAACAACCCAAAAGAACAGATGACATGAACAATAAGCATTAGCTCCCCGCGAAATTATTAGCGCAGAAGTCGAAACCCGTAGAAGTAGACAGCTTCACTCATGCTGATTCACCGTCACAAGTTCGTTCACAATCTTCCAACGTCAAAAAGTTATTCTGATTTCCTTTGCGACCATTGTAGATGAACTCCTTGCACGTCATCTCCTCCTGGTCGTAATAGTATCGAGTAGCTGGAGGAGCAGGAGCACCGAGCTCTCCTGGCTCTTCTGGTAGGCCTTGACATGCGCCTGGCACTGTTGGTTCTCCTGGGCAACATTGATACTCATCTGGGACGAGGCCCAGATGGCACCAGTAGCCTTCACCGCAGGAATCGGAGCCAAAAGTGCAGGGAACAGGTCGGTTTGTTGCCTGGTCAATCAATGGGCTACCTTCCGGACACACATTGACGTACACTAAACAACATCCAGCTTTAATTTACTTTGTGAAGAAGTTCTCGAAAACAGCAGAATTGCATTGAGTTTAACGCATAGTGCAGCGATATGGACCAATTTTGAAGTATTTGGACTCGAAATTACTTCGTTCCCAAAAAAACCTCGTTCGCTTAATGTTCCCAAATCACTTGCATTGAAAAGGCGATTTTAGGAATCATACCATTGGAAAACACTGTTCAAACGAAAAATGTCCCATGTGACCATGAATTATTTTAACATATGGTTATTTGAATTAACAACACGTTTTTTCTAAATGGTTGATTC